TGTGGTGGCAGCACGCTTGTAATGCCCACTGCTCAGAAGGCTGAGGCAGGAGGGACCCTTGAGCCCAGGAGTTTGAGGCTCCAGTGAGCTGTGAAGCTACCACTGCACTCCAGCCTGGGTGACAGAGTGAGACTCTGTCTCAAAAAAAAAAAAAAAAAAAAAAAGTTATCTATATAAAGACCCTTGCTCCCTCACTTTCTTTAGGGAGACTACTGCTCCCATAGTCTGACCGCTGCTGTGCCTGCCTGTGAACTCCTTCCACATTTGGGAGTCAAAAGCAGGCAGATCAGGAATTTTAACTCATTGGATGGCTGTGTGATATCTTTATGTTTGTGGCTTACTCCCTGTCACTTGGGCTAGTGGATTTACTTTACATTTCCTTCCCTTCAGAGCAGAATGTTGTCCTATCCAAAGACCACTGTATCTGATTAAGGTTTCTTTGGCCTTATAGAGAGAAAGGCAGGACTCATAGCTGTGCTATAGTTCAATAATCCAACTCCATTTTGATATTTCAGCTGGAAGGAGATGTGGCTGCAAGATTATTGGCAAGGTCTGGACCAGGGGGAAGCTCTCACTGCTATGATCCACAACAATGAAACACAGCAAAGGAAATTTTGGGATTACCTACATGAGATCTTCATGAAAAGGAACCAAAATCTCTAACTGCCCTTGCAAGAGTCTTTAACTTAGTAGAGCAAAGGAGATCTTATTCTGCCATGGAACATAAGGAACATCCACTGCACAGACCCTTAATAAACATTATCTTTCCATGGATTCAGAGAATTCCATTTATATCCACTGCTATTTTATCTTAATGATGGATAGCCAAGGTCTCAGCCTATGGTAATAGGGCCTCCCCTCAAGGAGAGACAGAGGCATACAATTCTTGGTTCAGTGGGAAACAGAAGCCTAAAACACCCATTTGATTCGAGGTGCTGGTCTAAAAGAATTTTTAAAGGACTGCCCACTTCTCTGTTTCATCCTTTCGACTGTTCTTCACTACCAGTAAAGTAATATGGGCCAGGTCGTGACTTATAGCTTATGTTCTAGTCCCCAAGCCCCTCATTATTCAGTACCTTTCCCAATAATTTCTTTTCCTTATCTCTTGCTTTATAAAATGTTATGTTAGTGAAGCAAAACTTCTGGTGGGCTGTATTCTGGTTTTTTAGGGTTTTATTTTTTATATCATTTACTTTGCTTTTCATGGGAAACTTAAATGGCTTTTTCTTTCCTGGTTTTAGGCCATTTCCCACAATTTCTGATGGAGATACAGAAACCTTGCCATTAATTATTCTTACTGCTGGTTTGCTTCTTATTTAGGGTGTATCTGGGATTCCTTCTCATCTCAAGATTCAGTGGCTATTATATGCCATGTCAATTTAATGTATTGCCTTGTTCTATTTTAGATCAAAGATGGAGACTAAGGCTGGAAAAGGATGGCAGAAAAAGTCATATATATATAT